CCGTTTAACATTATATTGAAACTAATAATTTAACTATTTTACATAATATCATAAATTATAAAAAAGTTGTTATTTTAAAAGGATAATTACTCACGTACGACAATATATCTAAACTACTAAGTTAACTATAATATGTTAAAAAGTTAAAGTCATAATTTTATAAATAGAAGTAAAATATGATATTTTAATATTATAGTTTAGTTAATTTATAATTAGAATTTAGTTTTTGCATTAATTTAACATAATTAACCAATTTATATAATTATTAGAAAGAAAATGAAAAGTCATGGAAGTTTCAAATGCATGAGGTTCAAAGAAAAATGCTAGCTTTATAAGATATATATATATATATATATATATATATATATATATATATTGTCACACCCCGCTAAAGCGGAAACACGAGGCGTGACAGTATAAAGGGTTTCATAGCAAAAGTTAAAAGACAACACCAACCATAGTATTAAAAATCATTACAATTTTACAATGGGTTTGAACAATTTTTAAAAGAAATTACAATGTAAATTGAAATACAACACATGCGAATGCTCCTAAAAGTGAAGTGTCCCTAAGTGCCACTTACTCGATGATTCCTGAAAAAGCATGTAAAACGAGCGTCAACTATAAAAATAGTTGGTGAGTACTCACAGATAAACAAAATAATATTGGTTCCATGAATTGAAATCAAAGTTTTGATAAAAGTTTCCAATAATAAAAGTATATTGTTAAAATGAGTAAATAAGTTTGTAAAAACAAAGTTCTTTGTCATCATGAGAGATAAAGTATGTTGCCCAAATAAGATGCAACATTCATATTCTCATGGAAGATAAAGTTCGTTACTCAAACGAGTAAACAAGTTTCATTGCTAAAATAAGCAATCAATTTCGTTGCTACAAGGAGCAAACAATTTCATTGTTAAAACATGTATATAAGTTTTCAGTAATAAAAGTTCGTTGTTGTAATGAGAAACAAAGTTCATTGCTATAATTAATAACAAGTTTATTGCTATAACGAGAAACGAGTTTGTATGTGTATGAGCAAACAATGAGTCTCAACCAAACCTATGACTGAAGCCCTATCAAGATCTATGCTTATCGTTCCATAGATGAATATGATATCATGCACTCCAGCAATAGGGCGAGTGAGGAGTTGTCAATTCCTAATAGCGCTATCCATAATGATCATTGGCTCAAAGAGTTAATGGTTAGAGATAAGGGAAGGGCCTTAGTACGATAAGTTCTCATGTTCCGTGTTACATAGACATACATAGAGAGACATAGCAATAAAATAGCAATCATGTTTGATACAAATCAATTTAAATACAACATTCAAATAATAGTTTTTCGGGACATGCTTTTCCAGCCCAAAACATTTAAAAATCGAAAATAAGGGAGTGGTGAATACTCACAATATGCATTGAGATGATGCAAATGATGCCTTGAGCTAAGTTCCACTTGTACCACTATCGATTCCTACAATAATGGTATTCGCTAGTGAGTCTCTAATCGAAATCTAACACTAGTATACTTACTACTACAATAGAATTATGCCAATATTGTGTCAAAATTTAATATTGATAAGTTACAAACATTTTTCTGTGAAAATTAAATTTCAATGAATCAATTGTTATATAACAATTTAAGTGGAAATTTCTCATTATGCTAATATTTAACAATTTAAGAGGTGTTCCAATGATTAAATATTCAAAAACTAAATTAATTTAGTTCTAAAATTTCCCAAAGTTTGCATTTCAGTTTTAATTGAAGTGAAAGACCTCAAGATAAATTTTCTTGAATTTTTGATTTGTCTGACTATTTTTCACGATTTTAGTTTCTTGAATAACCATAAAATCTTGAAAAATACTAACAGTTAATAAAAATTACCAAACTTCAGATTTTGGTTCTAAATGTACTAAAAGACTTCTAGATAAATTTTCATGGAGTATGAATATGTATAACCATTTTTCATATATTTATTCTCTAAATAGATACAAATTCATGAAAAATAGAAATCAGTTTCCAAAATTACCCAAACTTTTTGTATTACTGTTATTAAACATTATTAAGCTGGGAAAAATATAAAAATTGATTTCTAAACTGTTTAACCCAATTTTATGATTTTGAGCATTTATTCTAATAAAAATTGAAATAAATAGAAAACAGTTTCCAAAATTGCCCAAAATTTTTGTAACACTTTTATTATACATTTAGAAGCTGTGAAAAATATAAAAGATATTTTTCAATTAGTCTTTCTATTTTTCTTTGTTTTATCCTCTTAAATAATCATTAATTGGAGAATAATTATTAAACAGTTAAAGTAAATTACCAAAATTTTTTGTACACTTCATTTTCAGAGTAAATAATCTGGGAAAAATACCAAATGTGGTTTTTATATACTGAAATCCGATTTTGTGTATTTAAGTGTATTTAATCTTAGAAAATAGGAGAAAAATAGTATACAGAAGAGAAAAATCATCAAAATTTTTATGTAGCCTCCTAATGTACTACAAGGTGTTCTGGTAAATTTGCATGAATTTTGGATGAGCAGAACTATTTTGTCTATTTTTAGTCCATTATAAATACAAAAATCGGAGAAAAATAGGAATACATTATGAAAAATTCTGAAAATATTTTTCTAAGTCTTATACCTCTGGTAGAAGCTGCGAAAATTGTTATACAGCCTTTTCAACTTGTCTAAAGTGGTTTTATGATTTATTGGGGCTAAACAAAAAGAAAATTCAAAACCATATTAAACAGTAACAAAAGTCATTGAAACTTCGTGGGAGATGTTTATTAACTTAAAGAATCATCCAAGAATTTTTCCAGAATTTATTTACTAGTGTAAGTATTTTATATGATTTAACACTCTATTTTCTTATTATTTTCATATAAAAATAAAGAAAATATATATTGAGCTGAAAATTTCCAGAATGCATCTTCATACAATTTAACAACAATGAAAAATTGTTTTCTTATTTTTGATGTTGAAAACCATGCCTAAAGGCTCAATAAAATGTATAGAGAAAACTTGGTTCTTGTGATTTATGTAAAGATTATTGATGTTACTTTGACAATTTTTGCAACATGTTACAAAGACTTTTGAATCAAGATCTTTTTGTTCCTATTAATACATGATATTAAGAGTTTAAAATAATTTTTGAATGATTTTTAGTGATGAATAAGTCCTTTGAACATGCAACACAAAACAAATGTTCATAAGGAAAGTGCTGTTTGAGCAACAGTTTTGTAAAAATTGGTAAAAATCGAAATATTGGAATTTTCCAGTAAGGTCAGATGGGTTTGAAAGCTAACTCAAAATATTATATTTCAGAAAAAGAATCACGAATTTTGGCTAAGAAATGAGTGAGATATGACAGTTTAAAGTCAGGTAAAGAAATCTGGCAGATTGCATGCATGATGATTGGTTAGAAAAGTGGGTTTTCATCATTTCCTTGAGTAAATATTTTCAAGTATTTTAAATATATCATGATAAACTCATATTTTAGTCATGTTTCCAGAGATCAAAAGATTAAAACTTATCAAAATGTATACATGCATTTATGAACAAAATTTTGTTTCTCAAAAACTCTTAACTTGAGTTTGATGTTTTAATCCTTAAAATCGATTTTTGCACTAAGATCATGAACATGCAACCTTGTTTATCATACATGCATGGTGTTAAAACACATCCATCATGTTGTAAAAACCATTTTAACAAAAAGAAAACAAGTTTTAAGAAGATGAAGAATGAGAAAGTGTAAGAAAAAGAGCAAAACTTGAAGGAAAAGTGAAGTAGAAATCGATTTTACCTTCAAGAATACCACAAGATGATGAAGATTTCGAGTTTGAGGAGTGTTCTTGGGTTTGTTTTCTGGAAAATTTCTTGGTTCTTAGAGGGAGGAAGAGAGAATGGAGTGGTGTTTGGAGAGAAAAAGTAGAGAGAAGGTAGAGAGAGTTTTCTAGAGAGAGAAAGAAGAGAGATGTGTGTGTGTTGGAGAATGAGAGGTGAGAGAGATATGGGAGAGAGGGATCCGATTTTAGGGGAGGAGAGGCTCTCTCTCTCTTGTTTCTTTTATAAAAATTCAAATCTTTTATAAAAATATCCAACTTTTTATAAAATGTGCACCTTAACCTGGTTTTTATGCATAAAACTCTTGATTTTTGACTTATAAATCAAGGGTAAATGTTAATAACTAAATCTTTATTTTTCATTGAATTTTTATTTCATAATAATTATTATGATAAGATAATATTATAAGGTTCATAATTGTTTTTATAGGATTTTTAAGGTTAAAGTTTATAAATATGAGTTTTTAGGGCTTTTAGGGTTTTGGAGTTTAATAAACTTTGAATATCAAAATAAATAGAATATTTGAGACTTTAAATTATCTTATGGTATTATAACTCTTTTATAGTTATAAATAATGTTTGTAATTTATTTTTATCGGTTTATTGACATTCTATGTAGTGATTCCGAGATTCAAGCGAAATTGAGGAATCAAGTATACTAGTCCTAGTCTTCAAATTTGACTTAAGTTTCTATGAGACTTTGAACTAACTTCTACTTCTAGGTCAAGTGCATGATGTGTGTATATGATTCATGAAATATTGTTCGAGTCAAAGAGTGATCCAAATATGGATAGTCACTACAGCTTAGTAGATGTAGAATTCACATATCAAGGTGGAATCTAAGTACACCATCCATTGTTTCTATCTGTTGTCAAGTTTCTAGTAGGTTATAACTTAGCTTCTAATTACTAAGTTTAATATGTGTTGTGCCTATATGTGCAACTAAGTTTATCAAATCTATAACTAACTCGAATTTTGACGGTTGTCATATATATATATATATATATATATTATATATATATATATATATATATATATATATATATATATATATATATAATTATTTAGATTTTAGATTTATTAATTTCGGTGTATTTGAATCCGTTTTTGTAGTGGTTGGAGTAAATATATTTTTACGGCCGAGTAGACGGTACGCGGTCGAAAGAAAAACCGGGAAATTTCTTTGCTGTCGCAAGTTACCCTTCGTCAATTTTAATCTCCCCAGATCTAGGTTTTCCCTTAGATCTTCATTCTTCTCTCTCACAAGTCTTGTTTTGCAATCCAATCTCTCGATGCAATCAATGACCCTTGTAATTTGACACTCTAACATGCAGATTAGCATGTGTTTTGCTTGATTCGAATTCTCGTCATGCCTCCGTGAAATTACTCAGCTAGTTTTTAGGGTTCCCGTGATCAGTTTCTTTTCCTTCGATTCCATAAACAAATTCACGTTGTGCGTATATCATGAATGTGAAATCCGGGCAAGGATCATCATATAGAGATCGGAGTCAGGAGTTTTCGAGCATAGCTGAGAGGCTAAGAAAATCACATTCAGTTTCAGATGCGGCAGAGACGACTGTTAATAGCCGCGGTGCTGGGAGTGGTGCTGGTGGTTCCAGCAAGACTGCGGGATCGCGATCGACGGTTGCAGTCCAGTCGGAATTTAACAAAAGGGCTTCCAAAATTGGGTATGGAATTCACCAAACGTCGCAAAAGCTAGCGAAGCTTGCCAAATGTAAGTTGCTTCATGCACTCTTAATTCTCTTTTACTAAACAATTGATACAGTTATTACTAAAACTGAATACACTATTGATCAATATATTGGGTAAATTGTATACGCAATTGTGCTCTAGTATCAGGCTAGTTTCAAAAAAGTGAGATCAATCTCAATATATGTTGAATTGTAAACCCGGAGGAAGAAGTATTATTAACATGTTCTAGCTTCTGTATTTCTAGTGGCAAAGCGGACATCTGTTTTTGATGATCCAACAAAGGAGATCCAAGAGCTGACTGCTGTCATCAAACAGGACATTACTGTTCTCAATTCAGCAGTAGTAGATTTGCAGCTTGTTTGCAATTCCCAAAATGAAACTGCAAGTATTTCAAGTGATACAACTACCCATTCAACTACAGTTGTTGATAATCTAAAGAATCGATTGATGTCAGCCACAAAGGAGTTCAAGGAGGTTCTTACTATGCGAACAGAGGTGCTCAGTTACTATGAAACCATACTTTTATTTGAACCATATCATCTTTCTATCAATGTTTTTTGTTGAACTTTGAATCATTTGGCTGCAGCATTTGAAGGTTCATGAAAATAGAAGACAGTTATTTTCTGCAACTACTTCAAAAGAGAATGCTAATCCATTCGTTCGTCAACGCCCTTTAGCAAACAAGGGAACATCCAATTCTTCAAATTCACCTCCTCCATGGGCTAATGACTCTTCAAGTTCATCTGCATTGTTCCCTAGGTAAAGATAAATTTTGACAAAGTTAAATTACAGAAAAACACAGCTAACTAATTTCTGTTTTTTTAGAAAGCAGGCTGATGCAGAATCTCAGCCATTGATTCAAGATCAACAAAATCAGCAACAACAAATGGTTCCATTACAAGATAGTTACATGCAAAGTAGAGCTGAAGCTCTTCACAATGTGGAGTCCACCATTCATGAATTAGGCAACATTTTTCAACAATTGGCAACCATGGTTTCTCAGCAGGGGGAGCTTGCAATCAGGTTAGTCCCATTTTTTCAGACTGAATAAACCGTATGAATGAGACTAAATGACCATTTTACCCTTACATTCCAAAATACAAATTTCACAATAGGTGAAGGCTTGGTGTCTTAAGAATACCCGAGTTTCTGTATTGAGTTGTTTTTTCTGTATTAATTAAGTAGTAAAATGATGGTTGACAGGATTGATGAAAACATGGAGGATACTTTGGCGAATGTTGAAGGAGCACAAGGGCAACTGATGAGGTACCTCAACAGTATATCATCTAACAGGTGGCTCATGATAAAGATATTCTTTGTATTAATTGTATTTCTCATGATTTTTCTATTCTTTGTTGCTTAATATAACAATATTTTTGAGATATGAAACGAAACAACGAGCCTTTTTTCTTGCTATTTCTTTAATGTTTGCGGATTATAGGATATCATTGTTTCTAAGAAGTTTATTTGGGGAAGAGATTTAATTTTAAATACTGTGTATGTTTGACCCTTTTCAAAAACATTTTAAAAAAACCAACCTTTTGATCCATTCTAGCCAGAAAACCCGCACATATCCTACCGTCAACCCCAAACCTAAGTTTCGGATGACAAAATCGACGAAACCTAACACAACACAAAATCCAAGAAGAAATTAATGAGCCACATAACCCCCCACCTCACGCAGACTTCTAACGAGCATAAGGTAAAACAATGGAACATCAAAGAAGAAGTCGCGTTAGTTAAGACTTCAATCGACATTTCAAAAGATTCAGCACTACGAATTAACAATGATTTGAGTCCTTTTGGAAGCGGATTCTTGACAATTTTCTAAAACAAATACAAACTATCGATCATATTGTGCATCAAATGAATTTAAAATGGTAGGACATGGCCGAAAATATCAACAACTTCAATGTCATCTACAAGACTACAACAAGTTGATTAATCGCCAAAGCGGTCAATCAGAAGCACAAGCAAATATATTGAAGTCAATCTATTGTAAATATATAAAAGTATATAAAATGAAAGTTTTTCCTCACGATGCGGTGTTGGTGTAACGTCCTAAAATTTTAAACAAATATTTCTTTTGAAAAGGCATAAATCAAACATCCAAAACCTATATATCAAATTGTTTCATCACCCTAATAATGTATCATAAAATGTATCAAAATCATCATGAAAACAATGAAAGTCTAAATCATAAATAAATAGAGACGTGTTGTGGTACAGTCAAACTGACCATTCCCTCTGTCTAAAGAAGTACCTAAAAATATTTAACCAACAATTGTAAGCATAAAACTTATTGAGTTCCCCAAAATATCACATACTTCAATACACATACAATACAATGCATACAAACAAATGGCTTACAACATATCATCGTTTCGCCATCAACAATTAACTCGCAGCCTATCGTCGTTCTGTTAACGACTCTGGGTATCTAGACTCGTAACCTATCGTCGTTCCGTCATTAACCCCTCAAACATGATCAACAGTTGAATCGCAGCCTATCGTCGTTCCGTCATTAACCCCTCAGACATATACATAAATGCACCATATAATCAAGCACTCAACATACATACAAAAGACTAATCTAGTCTACTTGTATAAACATACACTAACAATACCTACCGTTGGAAATGAGTGTCCAATATCATTACTAATTTGTATAACTTTGAGAATGATAACAAAGTCATTTTAGAGTTGCCCTCAAGAGTTAAAATAGATAGAAAAAGTTTTATGAGAGTGAGATAAATAGTTTGTTAATTTATCAAAGCTTGGTAAATTAAATAGAAGCTACTTAAAATTAATTTAGAATTAATTTGAATTAATTAGAATTAATTAGAATTTTTCATGAAATTATTTAAAGGTACAAAGACTGCATATTAATTGTTTAATAGTTGAGTAACTGAAATGTTCTGGAACCCTAAAAGGGTTGGATGAATTTGAATCGCTTTAGTATTTTCGTTCATAGTTGCTGATAAGGCATGCATTTGAATTAGGATTAAATATGATTATTTAATTAATTCAAATTTGGTTTCTCTGCAAGTTTGTTCAACTACAAAAGACCCTCCTGAACTTCATTAATTCCAATCATAGCTTCCTTGCACTATGAGATTTCGTGTTTTACAAGCCTCTTCTCCCCTCTCCTAATTTTCTGGTGTTTAGTCTTTTGGGCGCGATCCTTTAGATACATTATCTTTTGAGTGCTAGAACCTTCCAGAAGCTTCAAGATTTTCGAGATCTACAAGGATTCAAGATGCAAATTCGATTTTGCTTAAAGGTTAGTAATCCTATCTCACTTTGTAGTATTATTTGGTTGTTTCAAAGTAAGTTGTTATAACTAGTAAAACCTATATCCTTGGTTGCATTTACATTTAGGATTATTTAATTGCTTCTGTTGCCAAATATTAGTGTAAAAATGCATAGAAAACCTAACACCTACATCCTATCATACAAAGGGTATCTATTATTATAAGAAATATAGTGAAAACACTCATCTGAACCAAGCAAAAAAAAATATAAATACAAGAATAATATAGTGAGAAAACGCATCGGAACGGAAAACTGACTATGTTCATTGTTTTGTGATGGTTAGGGATGGAGCCTAAATGAAAAAAATATAATAAGAGAAAAAAAAATGATGTAGAATGTGTCAATGTGGGATATAAGGGTTGTACTTTTGTTCATATGTATTTTGTTCATCGTAAAGGATTTTGTTAATCTACAATCAGTGTTGCAAAAATTCCGACTATGTCCTAATTAATCTTCGATTAGTCCCTAGACGTTATTCGACTGACTAGAAGGCGCCTAGATTAATCGTTTCCCATACAATGAACGAAGCAGTAGCAAACGATAAAATTTTAACACTTTGAAGAAGTTATATCTCAATAATAACTACTTATGGAATGATCAGTGTTTGTATTAATCATATTAACCTATTTTGTTATGATATTTACGAGCTTTGTTATCATATTAGTCATATTTAATTTTTTAAAATTTAAAGAATAAACAATTTAGGGTCCCCGATTAATCCTTTAACTTTTGTAGCACCCGATTCCTGGTACGTATTTAATTTCAAGAAATATTGCAATTTACTCTGGGACTCGGCGAGTTGGAGGCCCAACTCATCGAGTAGACTCGACTTTTGATCGGGGGTTTAAGTGACCTACTCGACGAGTCGGGAGACCGACTCGACGAGTAGGAGCTGTCTGGACAAAACCCTAATATTTAGGGTTTGCACCCTATTTAAACACTTTATCTCGTCCCAAACCAGCCTCCATCACCCTCCCAACTCAGAGAAACCCTAGATTGAAACCCTAAACCATTATTGAGTGTGCTTGAGCTTTGTGGTGACATTTGTTGGGTGATTGAAGTTTGAGAAGAAGAAAGGAGCTTGGGAGATCAAGAGGAAGCAAGAAGATCCAGAGGTTTTGCTTCATTCTCAGTTCATTCAAGGTAAAAAGCTTGAACCTTGACCATCTATTTCCTAGATCTTGTTTTGGGGCTATTTTTCTACCTTTTCTAAGCTTTTGAGAGGCTATGCTCAAATTTGCTTGTATATGTGGGTTTGTGCTTCAGATCTGGAACCATTGAGGGTTTCCCATGGCATAAAGGTGCCAACTTTATGGCCATGGGAGACCCATGCACCATATAAACCCCATTTTATAGCTTTTTGAGCCAAAAACCCCATGCATGGACATCAAGTTCGTAGCTTTACGTATAAAAGGGACCCTAGGAGGTCAGATCTATGATTTGGATGCATTAAGTCCCACTGAAATCGACTGTGTAGTTTTGGACAAAGAGGGACTCGGAGAGTCACTTGGGAGACTCGGCGAGTCGGGACGCTTTTTCCCCCAAAATGTCTTCTGGAAATGGTTTTGGTTGAGTGGAAGGAACACTCAGCCTGCTAGGGGTTGGTCTTGGATCTGGAAATCATGGGGCTCAACGAGTGTATGAACAGACTCGGCGAGTCCAAGGCAATCTCCCAACTTATGAAGACGGAATCGGCGAGTCATAGACCGAACATCTTCTTATGGATGAAGACGAACTCGGCGAGTTCAAGAACGAACTCGGCGATTCGGTTGAAGATTGTTCGATGTGTTGTTGAAGGCGAACTCGTCGCGCTCTTGCTAGACTCGACGAGTAGGGACGGGTTTATGACATTTTGTGGTTATGGGGACTCGACGAGTTGGCGGGCCAAATCGGCGAGTCGAGTCAACCAGATGTTGACTTTGACCAAAAGTTGACTTTGACCATGGATTTGACTTGGACATTGATTGGGATTGGGTTGACCCTTGTAAGGGTTACGAGTATGAGTATGAGTTGATAACTTGGAAGAGTTGTCGTGTAGGGATTGAGGAGTCGGGGAGAGTCGATTTCCACATCGAGATCAGTGCAGACACTACGTGACATTGAGGTGAGTTACTTTCCAGTAGTGGTGGGTCTACGGCCACAATGCCGGCCCACTGGTAGGAGATGTATGTTAGATGATTGTCTTTGTGATATTCATCTAGGTTTACTGCTACCTGTTATGTTCTATGTGCTAGCATGATATGATGTTATGTGATAGTGGTAGTAGTAGGGGGAGATAGTCCCCAAGTTACCGGTCGATAGGGCCGAAGGGGTAGTTTAGTATCCAACTATGCTAGATTATGATTATGTGATAGTATGTGATGGACCGGTCGAGAGGACCGAAGGGGTAGGCCAACACCCAGATATGCTAGGCAAGGTCACCGGTCGAGAGGACCGAAGGGGTAGGCCAGCACCCAGATATGCTAGGCAAGGTCACCGGTCGAGAGGACCGAAGGGGTAGGTCGGGCACCCAGATATGTCTGACAGTATGTATGCTATGTGATTGTATGGTATGTGGTATGATGGGGGAACTCACTAAGCTTCGTGCTTACAGTTTTCAGTTTTGTGTCAGGTACCTCTTCAGCGAAGGGGAAGGAGCCGGCGCGGTAGCGACACATCACACTCACACATGATTTCCGCATTGAGTTTTCTGGGATTGTACTCTGATTTTTATTACTACTGATGATATGGTTTTGAGACACGTTGTTACAATTTTATAAATTGATACGTCATTGGTAATGTTTTTGGTAAACTATTTTATGAGTTAATTAAAAATGAAATTTTGGCCTTGAAAATTGGGATGTTACAACTTTAGTCCACCGACTAGCTAATGTCGAACGTTTTTTTTACAACATTGTCTACAATGCAAGAATAATTTGCACTTTTATTCATTGTAATGGTTTCTGGAGATTCTTGTGGTAGTGGCTCTCAACATAAGATATATGGATGGTTGTGGTAGGAGGTAGGAGGTGTAAGTTTAATTAAGTTTTAAATTAATAATAATATTTTAAGATTTGTGAAAAATATATAATTAAATTGAAAGGCTACGTGAACGTCATGTGCGTCACATAAGTAAGTCATGCCGACCAAA